CTGTACCCCAATGATGTAGCACACGATGCCACACTCCTCAACTGAGTGCACGGTGCTGCTGTGGGTGGCATCGCAGTCAGTGACGATGATGAGGATGCAGCGTGTCTCAGGATGGGAATCATTCTCTGCCCTGAAGATGTACTCCCTGCCAGACCCCCCTGCCCTTGAGGGGTGGGGGTGGGCAGGGGGCAATGGGGACAGGAAGGAGGTAGAGGTGGGTGTGGGGACATTGGGAACACAAAGAGGACCATGGGGATATTGGGAGTGGACGTGGAGATAGTGTGGACGTGGGGGCACTAGGGATGGTGAGGAAGGCGTGGGGACATTGGGGGCACAGAAAGGACCATGGGGATGTGGGGGGTGGGTGGATGAACACTGGGAGGCACTGGGAGGAGGGCATGAGGTCACGGTGTGGGTTTGGGGACACTGGGGAGGTGACTGTAGGGGCACTGGGGATGGGATGGAGGGAATGGGGACACTGGGGGCACAGAGGTGGGCATGGGGACGTGGGGCTGGGAGTGGAGATGGAGCACTGGGACACTGGGGTGGGTGGGGGGACATTGAAAGCACCTGCAATGCAACATGGGGTGATGCACAGTGAACATGGGGTGATGTGTTCTTTTTTCTGTTGTTTCATGGCTGTATGGGAACTGTGAGGTCACAACCTAAAACAGTGATTGAGCACTTGGTGAGGGGTGTAGCCCTGCAAGCACTGGTGGGAGTTGTTCACCTGGGATGGGATGGGGCTCAGGCTGGCTCCACCCCTCCCTGACCACATTTAAGGGCTTGAAAGCATTGTGGCAGCATCTCTTCTTGGAGATTGTCTCTTTTGGGGTGGGGGATCCTTTCTTTATGTTAGGGCTGTGAGCTTCTCCCTGTTTGTTTGTTTTTTTGAGGAGGGGGAGATCCTGACCATGTAGGAGGGGTGAAAACAACCTGGAGGCTGTTTTCTTTGGAGTATGAGTGAGTATTGGTCCTTGGAATGGGGTGAGGGATTACTTCCTTATCTCAGAGTAGCAATGCACTTTTTGGGGGGGAATATCCTGTCCACATTGAAGGGCTGGCAGTTGTAAGGGCAACATCTTTACTTGAAGACTGCTTCCTTAGGAGTGTGGGATGAGCTCTAGTCCTTGGAATTGGGGTGAGTGATTTTTTAAATTTATTTTGGGGCTGTGATCTCTCTCCTTTTTGGGGGGGATTCTGACCTCATTTAAAGTTTTAAGGTCTAGCAGCCATAAGGGCAGTATTTCTTCTCAGAACCTGACTCCTGTGGTGTGTGTGGTGAGCTCTGGCCCTTGGAATGGGAGTAACTGATTCCTTCTTTATTTCACAGCTGTGAGATCACCTTTTTTGGGGGGGGAGGGGAGTTTGTGACTACATTTAAGGTCTGGCAGCCATAAGGGCAGCATCTCTACCTGGCGGTTATTTTCTTTATTGTGTGGGGTGAGTGTTTGTCTTTGAAATGGAATGAGTGGTCCCTTCTTTATTTCAGGGCTGTGAACTCTTCTTTTTGTTTTGTTCTGGGGGGCAAAGGGGGGTCCTGGCCACGTTTAAGGGCTGGCAGCCACCTCTACCTGCAGAATGCCTTCCAGAGAGTGTGGGTGAGTATTGGCCCTCAGGAAGGGGTGAGTGATTTCTTCTTAATTTCAGGGCTGTGAGCTCTGCCATTTTTTGCATATCCTGAACTGGATTAGAGCAGTTATCTGTTATGTGTGTCAGGGCATGACAGTCAGCAGTATGCTAGGGTTGCATGTAAATTGGAGAATTATGAAAAGGCAACTGCAAATTGCACTATTTGTTACTAAGAGTTGTAAGGAGCAAGATTATCTGTTTTGTACCTTCCTCAAGGCAGTCTAATTTTTCTATAGAGGAAGGTAGAGAAGGAGGTGGTTTCTTTCACTATTTCTGCTATTTTAATGTCCTGATTGAACTGTATCTCATTCTTTTCCTGTTCACAGTATGTTGTGCATTTCTGCATCACAAGGCTTTTAACTTTTTATAACTACCATAAACATAATTTAACAAGTTGTTTTTTCTTTGGTTTGGTAAGGCTAAAAACCAGTTCTACTAAGATTCTAGGCTTGTCCTACCTGAAACCCACAGGACACACGCAGCCCAGCTCAGCTCACACTTCCACCTGCTCACCCTGCCACATCATCTGCCTCCTGGAGCAGCCCAGCCTGGCCAAGGGGCACAGGGAGGGTGTAGTGCAGTGCAGACAAATAGCACGGCCCCATGCTTAATGCTTTGCAAGAAAATGGTGTCAGCTTTCAAAGATTACAATTTGAAAATATATGAATTTGGAAAGAGTCTAGAGGCCCAACAGGAGAATGATCCTGGGATGGAACAAAGTATTCTGCCAGTTTTAAATTAAAAAGATTAAATTATTAATTTATTAATTTAATTTAATTAATTAAATTAAAGATGCAAATGTAAGTTCCTTTCATCTTATTTTATTGATTTTTAATTAGGGAGAAACCCTGCTAACTTATCTTGTTTTACAAGGATTTGTTTTGCAAGCAGGTGTTCCACTTGGGCTCTGTATCATGTGTTGGCCGCATGGATACAGCATGCAGGTGGAAAAAAATGCTGCAGACTCTGAAGAGAGTAAAAGCAGGAGGGAGGCTGCAGTGGAGGCGAGAGGAAAGCTGCACTTTGAAGCAGGGAATGCCCTGCTGATATGTTTTGAAAGCACTGCAGGCAGACTCCTTCCCAGAATTTCATCCCTCTCTCAATTTCATCCACCTCCCCAGTAAGTAATATTGTGCTTGCTTAGAGAGATTCTGGTTTAGCTTACTAGTGCTCCTATTGCACTTGCTTAAGGAGTTTCTGCTTGCCATCTTCTGGGGCAATCAAAAATGGATACCTGGGTGTGTGCATATGCCAAATAAAACTCATAACTCTGTGCTGCTCTGACTGTGTAGTTTGCTTGCCTCTGCTCCTGAGACACCCCGTCTCTCCAATGCAAACATATTCTGAAACAATATTATAGGCAGAAACACACTGCAAAATGTGCTGCACATCAAGAAATGCTTTGTAAAAACAAAACAGCAGAACTGGAAATAGCCTGTCACCTTAACAAATTATTTTGAACCAAGTTAAAACTCCAAGGGAATCCTTAATAAAACTTGATAATGTGGCAGCAAATCTGATTGCAAAAAAAATCAAAACCATTTTCTGATCGTGAGTTTGTCTCACAAGACTGTAGCCAGCTGAACTGAAGAAATATGAAAGCCTTTTGAAAAAAATTTGGAGAGTTAAACTGCTAATATCAATTCCTATGCTTTGGCTGTGGGTGAAAATGCTCATGTTAAATACAATGGCTCAACTACTCATTTTTGTTAGAGGCATTCATAATGAATTTCAATATCAGTGAAGAAATGGCTCCTTTGGTGGCATTGAGAAAGAAATAATTCTCCTGATTTATGTGAAGTAGAAACAAACCAAAACAACATTAGAACAATTTTCTTTAACCCTTGTCAATATTTCTGGTACATCTACTGACAGTGCTCCAGTGACAGTTGGTTAAAAAAAAAAGTGAGACTTATAAAATTAAGATACAATAACATTACATGAGCGATAGAAAGCGAGACTTATAAAATTAAGATATAATATTCTTACGTGCTTAGCAGAGGTTTGCTGGGTGTAGAGAAGTTTTCCTTGGTTTTCTTCGTCTTTTTCCAACTGACGTAATTTTCTCCTCCCTCAACCCCCATCTAACCGCGTTTTTCCTCTGCCATCACGGCAGGGAGAAGAGCGCCAGAAGCTGCGGCGCGGCTGCGCGTCGAGCCAGTCGTTGTTGTTTCCGCGGTCTCCGGTGCCCCCTCGTGGCCAATAGGTGGAATTGCGGCCGTGTTTGTTTGGCGCTGCAGGCACCAGGGCGCATGCGCACAGGCACGCGGCGGCGGTGGTCCTCGCTCTGCGCAACAAAGATATTTATTTCTTGCATTTAATTTTGGTATGAACCAGGTAACACTGAGCTAAGCGAAGATCACCGAGATATTTCTAGAGTTTAGGCACTTTGAAACATTGGTCACTGTTCTTAAAGTATAAATTTAAGGATCTATGTCTATACTTAGAATCAGAGATAAATGTTTGGGTGTTTTTCTTCTGATAATATCTTCCTCTCTCCAGTTGCCATACACTTTCTCTCTCTTAAAAAAAAAAAAAAAAAAGTGTTTAATTTATATATTATTTATAAACATACATCTTTGCAGACACTAATAGGTAGCTGATTCCAAGGTACACATGTCCTTAACCAAAGTTAAAACAGGATCACGACTTTCTCTCTGTTCTATTAACAGCAATTCTGTAATAGTTTTATAGCACCTACCTGAATCAGTATATCAGTATCACACATTCCGCTTGGCTAACGAGCTTCTTTTTGCAGAACCTTAATCCAAAAACAATAAAAGTGGAAAGAAATTCCCTGTTTCACTTCAGCAGACACTGAAATACATATATAAAAAAATTCTCCTTCTTGATATTTTGCCTACTTTTTTGACTACATAACTGTATTGTAACAGTACGAAAATAATATCCTCTGTACTGTTTGCACCCTGTTTTGAAATGTAGTATTTATGATAAATGAATTTTACATGAAACCATTCTATTAAGCATGTTAAAATAACTGAAATTTGATTTGTCCCAAGAAAACATATGTAACTAAGCTTCTGCTTGGCTTTAAGATGCACACACATTATTTCTTTGACTTGGAAACACAAGCATGTGTGATACTTTACTGAGTACTGAGTTATTTCAGCTTTCTGGGAGCTGTATACTAATGCTGTGTCGTCAGAAAACTTCTGAAATGAGGGTTTGATACTCTGACATCAGTAAACAGCATAGTGCTACTGATCTGTAACCTCTCAGCAGCAAAATAGAGAAATCCATGTAATCGATTCAGTGTCTGTGAGGAGAAGCAACACCTTTTAATACACCACCTCAGAGAGCTGGCAGAAAAAATAGATTTTATTTTACCTGCTTCATCGAAGTACATACAATGGAATTTGTTTGAGAGAAGAATGAACTCCTTTATATTGCAGACGGAAGGACAGAACCTGCCTGTACAAATCTATCCTACGCTGACCTAAGCAGAAGCATTAGAGGTCATATAAATGTTCCTTGTCTTAGTTACTGAATCTGGTTTCTGTAATCTGAAGACACAATGAAGGTAAGGCTGCTTACACACTGTTTTCAGTTGTTTTTCAGGACAATGGATTTAATGACATAAAAATAAATTAACTGACTCTCCTCTCCTTACACTCTATTAATTGAAGATACTTGAAGTTGAACCGGAAAAGCAGTACATACAAGATTTATTGTTCCCGATGGAATCTTAGTCCTGCTGCCTTTTATATCCATTCTGATATCACTGAATCAACCTGAAGTCCTATGTATAAAAGAAGGAATTATTTTAGATTTTCCTGAGGCTCAGCCTTCATCACGATATAAGATATGCAGTTGTATCACCACCATCCCTGCAACTCTCTTCCTACTCTCAAGTTTTCTGGATTTCTTGTTACTTATTGATTTCCAACTTCCAAGGTCTGCGTAAGATACCTTTCTGGTTAAGCTCCTGTACTGATCTCTCTCTTTTTTTATTATTATTTTTTATTTTTTTGTTCTGTAAATTAATGCTAGTTAGTGATTGCTACTTGGGTCACTGTCATCTTCTGCTCTCTCATCCCAAGTGTATTACAAGAATGAAAAACTATTTATGGTTGAACTGTACTAACTCTGTCTTCCTTTACTGCACTTACCTGAAGTGCTCTAAAAGGACTCAATGAAGGACAGGGAAGTATTTTCAAATTATAGCTGTGAGTGATGATCAGAGAATAAGAAACCTCCGACCTGAAATTAGAGGAGCTGTTGACACCGGCTACAATTCTGAATAGTAGTTCAAAGCCAAAGAAGAAACAATAATATTATGTCATTCACTGGGAAAAAAAAAAATAAAAAATCCACTGTTAGATTTTTAGCAAATAAACAAGTATATATGATTACAGAGAGGGAAAAAAAAGGATTTTTGGAACTGTGTCTAAGTTTGAATAAAATGCTTTTATGTGTTTACAAAATTATTTTAAAGGATGATTGTTGATCTGCTGAAGCCTTCTTGATTCTACATTTTTCTCAGTTTGAATTATAAAAACTGTAATTGTATATTCTGAACCTAGAAGAGAAAATCTAGAAGGCTATTCTGATTTTTTCTAACCATCTGTTGAAAAACGTCATGAGCACTTGTTTATCTGCACTTCTGTAAGTTCTCAACATTGATTGTATTTTATTTTCTGTATCTAATTACTCTTTAGAATGATATGTTTATACTACTGGAAAACTTCTATTTTAGAGTGGAATTATGCATACAGTATTCATATGGATCTGATCAGAACTGAATAATGCAGATATTTTTATAAGTACATCTTTTGAAAGGAAACAAGTGTCATAATATATTTAAAAACCCACCACCTTTCAAGAAATAATGATACATCTTTTGTGAGCTGGAAGTTCAATATGAATATTCATTAAAAGTAATGATGATATCCTGACTGTCTTGTGGGAATATTACTGTAGCATCAGAAATTCCTCCTGAATTCTTCAACTGAGTTTATGCTGCCATATTTATTCTAAAATTCTGGAAATCTTGTGAAGGCAAGATGCAAGTGAGATTTCCAGTATATGCAGAACTGCATCCCAGCCTTATATATAGTAAGTGCAACATTTGCTATGTTGAATTATTATTGTTATTATTATTATAATTACTGTTGTTGTTGTTGTTGTCATTGTTACTGTTATTATTGTTAGGTTGCTTGTTTTAGCAAAGACATAAAGTGAAACAGGTAAGTAAGACAGGGATCTCCTGGAAGGAGTCCAGTGAAGGGCCATAAAGGTGATAAAAGGCTTGAAGCACCTTCCTTATGAGGAAAGGTTGAGCGACCCAGGGCTGTTCAGCCTTGAGAAAAAAAGACTCAGAGGGGATCTGGTCAGTGCCTATAAATATCTAAGGCGAGGAAAGCAAACAAACAAGGCCAGGCTCTTTTCAACAGTGCTTGGTGATAAAACAAGGGGAGATGGCCACAAACTGAAGCACAGGACGTTCCACACACATGTGCATAAGAACTTCTTGACAGTAAGGGTAATGGAGCACTGGAACAGGCTGCCCAGAGAGTCTGTGGAGTCTCCTTCTCTGGAAATGTCAAGACACACCTTGATGCCTGGCTGTGCAACCTGGTCAAGGGAGCATGCTTTGGTAGGGAAGTTGGACTAGATGATCTCTAGAGATTCCTTCCAGACCCTACAGTTCTGTGGCTCTGTGAAATATGTGAGTTGGAGTTACGATAACAGAAAGAGTTAGTGTTAGTTTTCTTAAGATCAAATACAAAAATAAAGGGAGGTTGAGAACATCATCTTCCTAATATTAATTTTCTCTGTTTAAAGGAATGGTAAATGTATATGCAAATGTTCTTATACTGAGTCTTCGCTGAAAATTGGAGCTACTTAATACAAGTGCTGAATTTGGTTTCTTCTTCACAGAAACTTTCCATATACTGACATATAAGAATGCATTACTCAGTGTAACAGGTGCAGTAGTCGTATAACTCTTCACTTGAATTAGTAGAGCTTGCTCAGATTCAATGATTACTTAATATTTAGCTAGCTTAAACAGAACTGAGATCACAGGAAAAAAGAGAGCATGAAGAGGTCATCAGAATTATCTAGCTATGATTAGAAAAGATACATTGCTTACATGCAGCTAGAGAAATGTGAAAAAGCTGAAGCACAGATCTTCTACATAACCTACTTTGCAGTATTTACAATAACATGGACTAAAACATTAGATTGGTACTCATGTAAAGTTTAATGTTTATCGTAGTGTCTCTGCCCTTGACAGTAGCTAAGTAAGCCCATACATCTATTATATTTCTTTCATGCTGCCCATGTGTCCAGCCTCTGTGCCCATCAGCAGTAATGGTCCTCAGTGCTATTACTGTAATTCAAAGGCATTAACCAGAAATTAAATGCATATTAGTTATATAGTACGAAATTATGTTAGCTGATGTGTTAAAGGCTGCAAACCACAATCTCAATAGCATTTTACAAGTACCAGTGTGACAGATAAGAAACATAAGAATAGGTCTTTAGAAATATTGTGCCTGAAAACAGTTCTGAAAGCACACTGATTTTTTGAAAGCATTGTTGGCTATCTGTCATCATGGTTTATCAGTAACTGACTGTCCTCAAATTCCAGACAGCTTGTCTAATCATCTCCTGGTTTACTTTCAGATTTCAAATGCTCACCATTCCTGATTCAAGCCATTGGCTTTCTTGGCTACCTGGGCACACTGCTGGCTCATATTCAGCCAACTGTCCATCAGCACACCAAGGTCCCTTTCTGTCAGGTGGCTTTCCAGCCACTCCTCCCAAGCCTGGGGTTGCCTGGGGTTGTTGTGACCAAAATGCCGGACCAGACACGTGATTCTGTTGGAACTCATACAGTTTACCTTGGCTCATCGATTCAGGTCCCTCTGTAATGCCTTTCCTCCCTCTGGCAGAACAACACTCCCTACCAACTTGGTGTTATCGGCAAACTTACTGAGGGTAAGTCATTTCATCCCTTCATCAAGATCATTAATAAGGATGTTAAATAGAAGCGGCCCTAGAACAGAGCCCTGGGGGACAATGCTCGTGACTGGCCTCCAACCGGATTTAACTCCACTGACCCCAGCTCTTTGAGTTCGGCCATCCAGCCAATGTTTCATCCAGCAGAGCGAATGCCCATCCAAACCATGGGCAGCCAGCTTCTCCACGAGGATGCTGTGGCAGGCAGCGTCAAAGACTTTACTGAAGACCACATCAACAGCCTTACCTTCATCCACTAAGCAGGTCACCCTGTCATGGAATGAAATTGGGTTTGTCAGACAGGATCTTCCATTCATAGACCCATACTGTCTGGGCCTGATCCCATGGCTGACCTTTAATTGATCCATGGTGGCTCTCAAGACTGTCCGTTTCACGACCTTCCTTGGCACCAAGGTGAGACTGATAGGTGTGTAGCTACCAGAATCATCTTCCTGGCCCTTTCTGAAGATGGTCTTCATATCTGCCAGTCTCCAGTCCTCCCGGACATTCCCAGTTAGCCAGGACTGTTGAAGGATGATGGAGTGTGGTTTGGCAACTACATCCACCAACTCCCTTAGCACTCCAGGATGCAATCCATCTGGCACCACGGAGTTGTGAGTGTCCACGTTTCAGAGCAGTGTCCAGCTTTTTCCTTTTCCTTTTCCTTTTCCTTTTCCTTTTCCTTTTCCTTTTCCTTTTCCTTTTCCTTTTCCTTTTCCTTTTCCTTGAACTAGGTCATTATTGGAAAGATTGTTGGTTTGTTTTTTTTTAAGGATGATATTTTATTTCTATTCAGTGTGTAAGCAATCAGAAATGTTTTACTAGTGAAAAGATAGAGCACATTATTTGGAATTGATAGCTAATTTATTTTATTATGATTACCTGGAATAACTTTTGCCACAAGATTTTGATTTAAATTTCTCTAATACTACTGATTTAAAGGTGACTTTAACATTCCTCTGCAGAAGCTCTTTGTGAACAGTAAATTATTTTCTCTAACAGCAGCATAGTGTCTTAGTCTCCTACATGAATGAGGTTGTAAACCAAAGTCCTATAGAAATATATCTACGCAAAGATCATTCCCAGTGTAATATTTTTACAGCACTAATAGTAACTGTGTAATTCATATGGTATGGTCTGCTCCAGTCTTGGATAAAAGAGCTAATTTTTGATTTAAGTGAATGATTTTGTTAGGTATCACAAGTTCAATCCCTGCTGGTGTTACGCTGCCATTATGTCTAAAATCTACTGTAAGCTATTTCTGTTTGTGTGTATGAACTGAGCAAAGAACAGCAGTGCTGTGCTCGGTGTCAGTGCATATACCATGACTGAGAGCAAAATAAATGATTTTCTTCAGATGGTAGAGGCCGAAGTAAGAAGTTAAGTTTTATTTTGCTCAGGATTTGAATGACGGTACTATAAATCATGGTATAAAAATAATAGGCTGATCCTAAATTCTTGTACTGGATACAGAGATTGCCTTCATAGCCCAGAAGTAGTGCAGATTGTAGAATTTTTTTACAACTATTGTTATTGTTATTATAGTCATGTGTTATTACCTAAACCCTGATGGTGGAGCAACAATTTGACTAATTTTTTTTTCTTACAATAATGTCATTTAGATACGGTTAAAATAGTGTTCTGTTTTAAGTTATTGCAGACTGTAACATTTCAATGCACTGAATATGAGTTTAACAACACCTAACCAATTAAGTTAATTTGCCTGAAAAATGTACTACTTGGGGAATTTTCATGATAATATTTACTCACTATATGTAATAAGACTCCAAAGTCACTGTAAATAACTGGAATGTTACAGATATTTCAGAAAGTTACAGCAGTGCACAGTGAATGCTAGATATAACATTTTGACATAACTAAATATAATACAAAGTAATCTATTCTTTGCATTGATCTGCTCCTTGAGCTTAACACTGCTGAACAATCAGTATTCAGAACAGCAGTTTGTGAAACGAACTTCCCAGAGGATAAACTAGTGAAAAAAAAAAAAAAAAAAATTATTATCTTTTGCAAAGGGAAAAAAGCATGAAAAGTCTCTGTCCTACATATAGGAAATGTGCTGCCACCTGTGTCACAGTTTTTGTTCATAAGGTAACCTCTAGCTTTAACTTTGAATCCTGTGTATTCTGAACTACAGTCAAAGTCTCCACCAGTTATAGAGCAAATGAAAGTAATGACAGAGCCTTTATTTGAGAAATAGGTGCCCTAGGATAAGATATCCAAGAGGAATTAACTCACCCCTCCTGGTAACAGTTTAGAGAAAAGGGTGAGCAGAGGAATGTGACCCTATCTTGTTTGTACCATTGGGCTGCAGCAGAGAATGGCAGGGGGAATGGGGACCTGTGCAGACTCAGATGGGACGTGAAATATCATGGAGACAGAGGGGTGGCTCTAAACCCCCCGTGCTCACTCCAGACACTCATGTACTCGTGAAGCTCACCCACTGGTTCAGGCTGAGACCTTGAAATTCCACTACAACAGTTAAATATGAAAACACTGGCAGTGTTCTTGAACAGAAAAATTAGAAAGATTTCTTTATTTAATTTCAGTACAGGAACTGTTCTTCTAGTTCAAAGGCATGATCCTTTGTCATTTGCTTGTGGCAGAACAGAACTCCTGGGAGAACCAACTCAATAGCAAGAAGCAGATCAGATGAGGGAGAATCAATGACAAGCACCACTGGTCCTGCAAATTCCATTTTGTTAAGAGAAAGGAAAATTGGCTGTGACAAAACAAAAACAACAAATTTTTTAAGGAAGAGAGAATTTGTGAAAATACAGATACAGATCTCTTTGATTGGAACTGGAAGTCAGCATACTGTAAACAATTATGAGTCATGTCATGCTGATTATCTCAAAATGTAAAAAAGGGAGGTTGAATGAATATAGAATTATCCTCCATTGCTCAATTCTAACAAGAAATTAGAAGGGCTTTGAAAATATGGTGTGATTAAAGCCTACTTCCTGTCTCAGAATCCATATCAGTGCACCAGAAATGTCAGCACCACTTCAATAATTGTAGAATTACTTCCTCTTCACTTAATTAGAGCATAACTATTTGTGCATAAATGATTCTGTGTCCTGAGCTACTTCTTTGAATCTAGCACTTCTCCACGGCTAGAACAGTGTGTGCTGTTTTTTATATAGTGTTGAATTAAATTGAAACTCCTAAGTTGCAAGTCCATTTTTCTTGCTACTTTTTGTAGACTGATGTTTCTGATCAGTAAGAGTTACTTGCATATTGTAATTAAGTCATTGGAACTTACCTCTTACATTTGAAACAGAAAAAAACAAAATGCTAAGAACAATCTATCTAAAACAAAGCTATTAATACTCTTGGATTTAAACACTTGTGATTTGTGAGTCCATTTTGGACTTTGTTTTGTTGTAAAAGGGGCTTATTTAGCACTGTGATCCTATGAAGGCACTTCCAGCTCAGATAACGAGACCTTCCTCCAGTGCTTCTATCCTTTGATGTAATAAATACACACTCTGTTGCACTGTTTGACAGAGGAGCCCGGGAAGACATTGAAGAAGTTGAAGTAGCTTTGGAGATGGAGTGCCTTAACTTCTTTTGTGTTACATTTACCAATTTTTTCAGAGACTGGGGGTAGTATTTGTGAAAATTTTTCAAAATGAAATGAAGTCCGAAAATAAATCTAGAGGTATTATTTAGTGAAATACAAGTTTAAATTAACATCTCTGTATCTTTCTACCTCTATCATCATTCCACTGGTATTTATTTGTAATATGGTACCCTTGTCTCCCTAATACGGGAGGGAGAGAAGGTTCTTTTAATATACATATGCCTGATGGCGAGATTAGGGGACGATGGGCGACATGTTAGCCCAACCAGGTTACTACAAATCCTAGTTGTTTAAGGAGATGGGGAAGGGAAGGTGGGTGATAAAGACAGGAAATAAAAGCAAGGAGTCTTTGCAGAAAGCAGGAGAGAGAGAGTCACCACTAGATTTGGTTCATAGTTCAGACACTGATCTTCAGAAGTGGTGGGTTGTCAAGGGTTGTTGTTTGGTTGATAATGACAGTGGCAACAGTACCAACTTCCATACATAAGTCCAAAGTGATCGAGTCAGCTCTCTTTGGAGTGGCAGCTTCTGGCTTTGGGATCTCAGCAGAAACTCCTTTGTTCCCATCTTCCACACCTTGTCAGCAAAGCAGAGGGAGCTGGGAGGTGCTCACCTGCATCCTGTTTTTCACAGTACGTGATGGTATAATTCCCCAGTCTCCCACACGAAGCTGGAGTTATTTGCTCACAGGCCAGATCTTCTGCTAGTAAAAGCTCCTGAGAACTCTCTTCTGAAGGCAAAGAGTTCCAAAGGAAATGCTTTCAAATGTCCACAAAGTTATGTTGATTGCCACACGGTGACACTCATCAGTCACCTCCTGGATAAGTCAGTTAGAGTCTTATCCCCAAAAATACCTCAAAAAGCAAGCCTGGAGCCAAGAAAAAAAAGAAGGGTTCAGACACTTGTGTATTGCCATACTTAACAAGAATACTCCTGCATAATTGTCAGTCACTGATAGTATTCCTGTTTTATGTACTAACTAGATAACAGAACTCTTGCAGAGAAATAATAGTATTAAAGTGCAAAGTCAGACACATAAATATTTGCAAATGCTACATTTAATATTTCCGAATGAAATGTTATTCATGTACTATTGAGGATCCATTATTGTACAGCCTTGAATCATAGAATCACTTGCTATTTTTCATCAAGACTTCATCTTAGGTACGGAATGTAAGTTGCTTACTTTAGTCAACAACTTTTCAATCTTTTACATTTTTCTGTTCTGTGAACAGCCCGATACCTTATTTACCGCATGGTATTCAAACTGCTTTGAAAACAGAATAGTTAGAATCATAGAATCACCAAGGTTGGAAAAGACCTAAAAGATCATCCAGTCCAACCGTTCGCCTATTGCCAATAGCTCCCACTAAACCATGTCCCTCAACACAGCATCCAGTCTTTCCTTGAACACCCCCAGGGTCGGTGATTCCACCACCTCCCTGGGCATCCATTCCAGTGCCTGACCACCCTTTCTGAACAGTAATACTTCCTGATGTCCAGCCTGAATCTCCCCTGTCGTAGCTTGAAACCATTTCCTCTGCTCCTATCACTGATGACACGAGAGCAGAGGCCGACCCCCAGCTCACTACAACCTCCCTTCAGGAAGTTATAGAGAGCAATGAGGTCTCCCCTGAGCCTCTTCTTCTCCAGGCTGAACATTCCCAGCTCCTTCAGCCTCTCCTCAGCCCTGTGTTCCAGACCCCTCACCAGCTTTGTTGCCCTCCTTTGAACACGTTCCAGGGCCTCGATGTCTTTCTTGCAGTGAGGGGCACAAAACTGGACACGGTACTTGAGGTGCGGCCTCACCAGTACAGGGGAACTCTCTGTTCCTGCTTGCAACGCTGTTTCTGATGCAAGCCAGGCTGCCATTGGCCTTCTTGGCCACCTGGGCACACTGCTGGCTCCTGTTCAGCCGAGCATCCATCAATACCCTCAGGTCCATTTCCTCTACGCAGTCCTCCAGCCACACCACCCCAAGCCTGCAGCGTCGCCTGGGGTTGTTGTGGCCGAAGTGCAGGACCCGGCATTTGGCCTTGTTGAAACTCATCCCATTGGCTTCAGCCCAGCTCTCCAGCCTGTCCAGATCCCTCTGCAGGGCCTCGCTACCCCCAGGCAGATCCACACTTCCAGCCAATTTGGTGTCATCTGCAAATTTACTGAGGGTGCACTCGATGCCCTCATTCAGGTCATCAATCAAGATATTGAAGAGGACAGGCCCCAGCACCGACCCCTGGGGAACACCACTCACAACCGGTCGCCAGTTGGATTTCACTCCATTCACCACCACTCTCTGAGCCCGGCCCTCCAGCCAGCTCCTCACCCAGCCGAGAGTGCACCCATCCAAGCCTCAGGCTGCCAGCTTCTGCAGGAGAATGCTGTGGGAGACAGTGCCAGAGGCTTTGCTGAAGTCTAGGTAGACCACATCAACAGCCTTTCCCTCATCCACCAGACGGGTCACTAGATCATAGAATGAGATCAGGTTGGTTAAACAGGACCTGCCCTTCATGAACCCATGCTGGCTAGGCCTGATCCCCCACTCATCCTGCACATGCCGTGTGATCTGCTCCATAACCTTCCCTGGCATCGAGGTCAGGCTAACAGGCTTGTAGTTCCCCAGATCCTCCTTTACGACCTTTCTTGAAAATGGGAGTCACATTGGCAAGCCTCCAGTCTTCTGGGACCTCACCAGTCAACAAGGAGCGCTGACAGATGATGGAAAGCGGCTCGGCTCTCACCTCCGCCAGTTCCCTCAGCACTCTCGGGTGGATCTCATCTGGCCCCATCGACTTGTGGCAGTCCAGTTGGAGCAGGAGGTCTCTGACTGTTTCCTCCAGAATCACGGGGGGGTTAGTGCGCTCCCCAGCCGAGATTACCAGGTCAGAGAGAGGAGCATCCTGAGGATAACTGGTCTGACTTTTAAAGACAGACGTAAAGAAGGCATTCAGAACCTCTGCCTTTTCCTTATCCTCAGTGCTCACATTCCCAGCCTCATCCAGCAAAGAGTGGATGATATCTGGACCCTGTAGCCCCACATCCCTCCATAGCCCACCTTACACCCCCATTCAGCCCCCCATAGCCCCTCCCAACCCCCCCCGTGCTCCCCATAGCACTGTTTCCCCATAACAT